AAAAAAAAAAAAGACTTACCCAACAGGCAACGGGATGGCTGCAGAACCAGAAAACTCGCCTGGACCAATGATTTTCAAATCTGATCCAAATACAATACTGCACTCGCTAAGGAATGACACAGTACAGAATGGGCGAACAAAATCATGATTGTCGATATGAGGGGGTATACAGTCCCCCTCATCATAGATATTGACAATGCAGCTGTCTGGAACACAAGATGGCGGGAGGACATGCCACCTGATTAGCCTTTTAATCATGACCTTAAAGAGGTCAGGAAGAGGATCGACGACTTCATTCTTGAGGATACCCGGAGGATTACCATTTTTATCCTGTCACGTGCAAGAGATCAAGTTGTAAGGTTTCCTGTTGGAAACTATCAACAAGATTAATCAAAATGCGGGCACTAATAGCAATGAGCAGAAGAAATTACCACTGCATAATTATAGCAGCAACCAAACTGCATAGTAACACGACCTTTGCCCCTCATCCACTTCTGTGGTGCAGTAAAAGTGCGTGCTGAGAAAATCATTCAGACACTTCAGTGCCAGGCCATTTACAGATACCACTACAATAACAATTTAAAGCAACTAGAAGAAGTCTCTATAGAAGTATTGCCCTTCCTGTTCAAGTTTGCTTTTGGGAACAAGCAGCAATTAATTCAGTGAATAAATCTGCTAGACTGGATAATTGTCATAAGCATCAAATTCTTCCGTAAATAGTAAAATTTCATTTCAACTACTCTCAGACTCATTGTAAGCATGCATGTATAGACAAAAAGATTTTCCATAAGTTTTTTCTTGCATTACCATCCTGTTCTTACATCTTCACCAAAGAAAAAGGTTGTTTATTATACGTCTTAGCCACAAAATAAAAAATAAAAAAAAAAGAATAACAATAAAACAGAGTTTATATGGATAAAATTGGTGGATAAATTGACTTACCTTTTAATTCGCCTTTCTTTCCCATCTCCTGAAGCACTTCCACATAATCAACTATCCTCTTCTGCTCTGCAGCACTAAAGACACCGGTATGTAGCTCAAGGCCGTCAAGTATATTAACAGGTTTGCCTTTAACTCTCTCCAAACACATAAAATCCTTCTTTCTTTTCACATTAGTAAATCGAATGTACTCTCTTTGCTCCCTTGACAACTGTGTCTTTTGCTTAACTTCCTGGACTGTTAAATTCTCCTCGGCAACACCATTCGCATGGCCAACCTGCCTACTAGTGACTTCATTCTCTTCCTCTGCCTCAAGCTCATCCTCCTGAGCCATATCAGCCCACGACATTTTCTCCCTAGGAGCTTCAAAAAGTGCAGGATATGAGCTTGATGTTTCAATTGTGGAGGCCTCAGACTCCATCTCAGCAACAGGCTCTGATGACCCATCTACACCATCTTTCCAGGACCCTAATGAATTTGTATCAGCAATCTCATTCACATCTACATCATCCTTCCAATTTCCAAGTGAGGTAGTGTCACAGTTGTTTTTGTCACATCCACTAATGTCCATATTTTTCAGAGTCAAAACTACTGGGTTCTCTTCGGCCCCTACATTCATAGAAACACCGAAGCACATTAGACAACTCATCAAATAAAAACCATGAACAACAAAACTGAGCACAACAGTAATATCTTAAAGTTAGCATTACATTTTTTTAAAACTGACATGCTCGAAATCTTCACTTACCTAATAATCAAACTCTACTGGATGTTAATTGCCCACAAAACCTCCATAGTGCTGGCAAAAATAGAACAGGAAACTACAGCCATTCACCCTATCATCTCTTCTATATTTCTCAATAATGATGCCTGCTCAATAAGTCCAACTAAAACAACTAAAAAAGATTCCTTAGATTCACTAGTAGTAAAAGGTAGAAGGGCTACGCTGAAGTCAGGTCTCTGAGAAAGCTACCCTGGCATCAGAATCCTTACATTGCAAATTCTATACTTGCAGAATTCGGAATTAGGCAGATCATTCTGTGAAGTCAGGATTAGACCACTCTGGACCTAATGTATCTAAATCTGGAAATACATTGCAAAATCTGCATTTGCAGATTAGGAAAGGGTCTGCTCTCCCCTTGCAAGGGCTGCATCACCTGAGAACTATATGCCTAAGTATGCTTTTACAACCAGGTTAACATGTAAAAACACATTTGTCACAAGGATTAGACCTCGAGTTTTGGGTATACAAGCTGATCAACTATGAGTTTTTCCCGGTGAAGCCTATATAGTTGGGCATATTCAACTTAAAAGAAAGAAACTTATCTAGTTTGGTTAAATTTCAGGACTTAATCTCTTACATATCCATGTGCAGCCATCTACAAAATTTGGATACTAAGAATCAAAGATCGTGCACCGCGCCCTGCCTGGAGCTGTGCCATCTATGAAGATTGGAGAGCAGAGAACTATTACTCAAGTGGGCTGTCCATCAAATGGGTTGCCTTGTAATCCCTTGACTATAATCGTCTTAATTTTTGATATTGACCTCTTTTCTGATATATGTGATCATAAGGGGTATGCTTGCTTTCTCCCCTACAAGCTCTATTATCTTCTTAAATAAATATGTCAAAGCTCAGCTCTTTAAAAAAAGAAAAAAAGAAAACTTTTCGTCCGCACTTCACCCAACTAATTTTGCTGTCGTATACGTATACTTTTTCCTCGAGCACCCCAGGTCCCATTAATTCTACAGAATAAGATAAACGGATGACATATAACTCCAAGAGAGAAGAATGAAACAAAAACTGGTAATAGTGAAGAATACAGCCAAATAGTACAAATATGCAAGAAGAATATTGATAATTCAGATGCAATTCAATATAGAAAACTTCGAGCGTGCAAGGATTTGCGAGAGAGGAGTACTACCGGGATCAAGGGATCGAACGAGATCGGAGAGGGTTTGTGTGCAGCGACGGCAAAGCCCTCGGGAGAGAAAAGGCAGCCAATTGGAGAGGAATTCGGAGGCGATTCGGAGGTCATCGGCGTTGTATTTGAGTAAAAACGGGTCGTCCTTCCGAGTTCGCGGCTGCTGCTGTTGGTGGTTGTGGTGGTTCGCCATCCCAATAATGAGTCGACTCGCTGGACAACCGACTCCAACTTTACTCCTTTTTATTCCCCAGTTTTTATTGCGCGGAATTGGAGTTCCTTCAGGTGGAAGATCAACAAGCAGTGAAATTTACGGCAGAGTTCTCAATGGGGTTCGGAATTAGTCAAGGATTTTTTGCAATTAGAGTGGAATTGGAGGATGTATTTGGAAATTTCTATTTATCTGAAAAGGGCCTGGCAACTTGTCGGGTTTGCAAACCGAGCTGTAAGAGAAGTTGATAAATTTGGCATAATTTCTGAAGATTCTGGCTTTTTATGAGGAATGTTTTCACTTTTTACTGGTTTTCTTGTCCTAGAAAATAGTAGTTGGACTGCTAAAAGACAAATTGAGCCCCCAAAATCCAAAAGCTTCTAGAAAAACAGTAGGGCTGTCAATAGCGCGGGCTGCTCTAAAATCCCCCTTCTCCCGTCCCGTCACATGATTTCACAAGTGTCCCACGATTGTTTAATGCTATTTTTTTATTTTGTATTCTTTTTATATATATAATATCAATAATAACATTATAGAAATATTTTTTAGATTTTTAGCTAATATTCAATGTAAAATTAAGGTTAAAAATCATTTTGATCTTTTTTTAATTCATTTCTCTACATTTAATAGCAAATTTAAATTTATAATCATCGTATTTGTTTAAACAACTTACAATGTGTTTAAAAATTTGAAGTAAACTAAAAAACCAAATCATCATTTTATCATATAAATTATGATTTTTTAGTTCTCAAATTTTAATAGATATGCATATAATTGATGAATAGTTATAATGTCTACAGCAAATCTAAACTCACAATTATCATATTTATTTTTATTTTTTAGTAAATAACTTACAATATGTAAAAAATTCAAGTAAACTAAAAATAACCAAATAATCATTTTATCATACAAACTATGATACACACACACACATACATCATATATATGTGTGTGTGTGTATGTGTTTGTAATTAGTGTTCCCATTTCACTGACAAGAGAGATAAGTGATATTTTTAAAACTTTAGAAGTGTCAAATAATATTAGCATAATTCTCAGAGGAGATTTTCTAATATTATCGCTTTTTTAAATTTTATATTAGTAACAGGGGACAGGGTAGAGGTATCTTCCCTGTCCCTTGCCACATTTAAAACGAGGGGAGAAAAATCTTTTCAATCTCCACACTCGCATCATGACTTCCAATTTGGGCACTTGCCGTCTTCGTTGCTATCCCTAAGTAAAACATGGTAAATGATGGAGTTTTTGGAAATTAAATAAATGGCACCCTCCAGATTTTGTGTGCTTTGTCTTAATTCTAGTTGTAGCATTGATTTGGAAATTATCCTTTTCATGTCTATGCTAGAGGTGATTTAACATGTTACTAAATTTGTCTTGGAATTAATTTCTTATGTAATGTTGGTGACACTAATGAAGGAGGACCTAGGGACAGACTACTCAGCGGGAGCAAGATTGTACACTTAAAATTAAAAAAAAATAAATTTAGGTTTATATTCTACTTCCTATAATTTTTCTAGTTCAAGTAGTAATTAAATGTATCTCAATTAATAGCTTTGAAACAATGGGACCTAGAAGAAATACTTAAAAAAAGGAATTAATTGTCTAGAGATGACCACTTTTCAAATTAGAGGTGGCATTGTCAAGATATAAGGATATTTTTTTTAAATTAAATGGGGCAATTATGAGAGAAACCAAAATTTTTATAAAAATTTCAAGCCTAATTTGTAATTTTCACAAAGTTGAGTAGGGGCAATCGGTCACCCTCACATTTGGCTAACATTTTTTTTTTGTTTTGCTAATTTTAACGTCCTAGTTAACTTGTTTCTTAATCGTAGTAATTTTTATTGCATTTGATCAAGCATTCAATTCCATTCACACAAAAAAAAAAAAAAAAAAAAAGGATCAAACTTTCAATTATTTGAACGTCTCTGATATGTCCCTTTTTTTTTTAATTTTTTACTTTCCTTTGTGGGGCCAGTCCCTTTATAATAGCATAGCAACATTTTTTGAAGGATAAGAGGGATAAGAAATCCATCCACTGGCTGACTGGCTCCGATACAGGTAAGTAACGAACACGGCCATGCTATCTCCGCCAAGACCTTTGAATGCTATCCCAGCTTCAATTTCCCTGGCATCATCCCAACGCCAACATGTTCAATTCCTCACGCTTGGTCCCATTAAAAGCAGCAGCGACGACATCAACGGTGAAACCGGCAGCAACGAACCAAATGCGTCAACACCAATTCAGCAGCCCATAAAGCCTCCAGACACGGTGGAGATTCGGTTCCGAAGGGGTTCAAGAAGAAGAAGAAGAAATCAACAGCAGGACGGCGCGTCCATGAAAGCAGAGACAGCAGCTCATCCCAAGGACTGGGAATCCATGACTCTGACCGAGAAGGTTGTAGAGCTCTATATGGGGGAGAAAGGTATCTTGTTCTGGCTTAACAAGTTTGCTTATGCTTCCATCTTTATCATTATTGGGGGGTGGATAGTATTCCGCTTTGTTGGCCCCGCACTCAATCTTTACCAGCTGGATTCTCCTCCCTTGGCTCCCACCTCCATGTTCAAAGGTTAATGAGAATCTCTCTACGAATCAAGAATTGAAGTTTCTGTAGGTGCAGGATAGTCTAGAGTTAAAAGAGTGGATTAAGTTTTTCTGTTCGAGAACTATTACCCTTTGTATTTCTCTGTTATCCACGGCCTTGACTAGTATTCTAGTATATCCAATACATGAAAATTTGGTGCATTCAGATTCAATCACCACATTTTAAACAGTGAAAAGGCTCCTGAGAAAGATTGCACATTTTCATACTTCACACTGGAACACAACCTTTCATAATAAACTCAATTTGTACCCGCACTGTGCAGTAAATCAAACCAAATCTAGGCAGGATGATCGAATGATCACCGCATCGAATCCATGTGTCCAATAATCAACAGTAGCTGTTACACAATTGGAGCAAACTTAAAATCCCTTCAATGCTGTAGGCTACGCAACACCAACTTGCTGAAGAAGCACCTCTCTCTGCTTCTTGCACCTGTAATTCCAAGAACTTTGAGAATCAGCCCACTTGTATTGCAAAAATTCAGAAATAAGAGCATGCAGGGACGTGATAACAAATCTCAACGTTTCCATGCCATTTCTTTGATCTATGGTCTGCTATAACTTTCATTGAATTTTTTTAGCAGGTCTTCCTCCACTGAAGGAAGAGAGGAGTGGGGGTTGTAGTAGGAAGATGACATATCATAGCACAAGAAGCAGTTTAGTACTGGAAGTATGCTTCTCTAGGTACTGACCTGTTACATTCTGATCGAGATGCGTAGTTGTGATTGTTGCAATTATTGCACATCCAATCCCCATCACGCCATTGTTTTGCCCTGCCAGGTATGGGGGTCAAACACCAAAGAAAAGATTAAGAGCCAAGATACAATATGCTTAATGCTCCATACAAGAATCTGTTTATTGTTCAGAAAAATGTTTGATTCATAGAGAAAGGCTACAACTGGTTCTGTTTTACAAATTTAAATCTGATTCTCCAAGTCAGAAGACAGATGAGCACAGAAGGTAGCTTGACCAATACTTACTTTCATTTTGGAATCTTTGACTGTTCAAAGAAAGGCAGGACAGAACAATGAAAGGTAATGACATAATAGTGAGGAACAAGAGAAACTTAAGCATATATAACCACATCCCAGATGAATATAACACATCCAGGAAAAAAAAAATCCTTTGCCAACTTCCACGTAATATGAACAAAGCACCAAAGAAGCGATCATTACCCTTTGCCAAGAAGAGTAGGAGCTGCTGGTACATGCGGTACCTGCAGATTAAATTGCAAATTTGGACCCAAAGCTGAACTTGCACTTGGAAAGGTCGAGTAAATGAGAGATGGTTGACTGCCACTAGGACCGACAACAGATTCAGGTCCTGAATATGCAGGCTGCAACCCATAACCAGCAAATCAGATTTATAGAAATAAAAAAGGTCAAAGCTACAATTTAGAATCAAATACTCAATCTGAAACCCGATAAAGAAATTGGTGTCCAACCTGTCCAGCGTTCAGTCTCTTGCTATCCCATTCGTGAACAAGTTCTTCAGAAGCTACTCTTTTTGTTCCATGAGCTTCCATCAAATAGCACAGAAAAGATCAATTACAGACTCAAACTATCTGATTAAGGAACATAAACGTTGCCAACTTTCATTCTATTGGAGCCTCCCAAAATGATAAGCAAGTAGCAATACAGCCCCCACCGCCCAACCACCGCCCCCCCTTCCTCCCCAAAAAAAAAAAGGAGGACCTGTAATGGAAATGGTGGAAAAGAAGGCCACAATTAAAGAAAACAAAGAAATAAACATTCACGTCCGTATGTGAATGTTTAAAGAGACTTGGTACATAAAAAAAGACATCTCTACGTACCTGTAATTGCCGTACTGACAAAAGAAGAACGTGCAGCTTCTGGCATTGGAGTGTTGCATTTTTTGCACTACAGGACAACTTCACAAAATTCAGATGTGTGATCTATGTCACTTCATCTGAAAGAACAAGTTTAAATATTAAAACATTTTCTGCTTTGTCAGACCTGTGCACGAGAAGAATAGTTGTGAAAGCCACAGCTGCAGATCCAGTCACCACTGCGCCAGCTTTTTGGAGCAGAAACTAGTTGATTAGCTTGGCTAGCATGCAGAACACCAGAAGTATTCATCCCATTCACTGGCCAAGTAGCAGCTGGTTGAAGACCAAATTTATCAGCCCCAGCAAAAGGCCAGTTAGAGCTCAAAGGCAGTGACTGCTGGAGAGATCCATTCCCCAACAATCCGTTGTTTATCCTTTGATCGAGTCCTCCTTGTGCCCTGGCAAAATAATTTGGATAAGTTGGGACAGAAGCTCCAGGGATTGCCATAGCTGGCATCGCTGCTATCTCCTTTGGTTGCCCGCATTTTTTGCACTTTTCTCTTGATGCATAATTGTTGTTAGTGCAACCTATCGATCCATTGCCATACACACGCACCCAGAATGCAGCCAGGAAGTGGAAATATTCCAAGAAATGCACGCCAACCGCGATTGCATACAAAATCATCATCCAAAAACTTTAAAAATTCACAACCTAACTGAACTAGTGTTTGTTGCTAAAGACATTGCATGGAAGAAAAGAATAGCAACAAACAAACAGCATGAAATAATCAACAAAGTAGTATCCCACTCGTACATTCTTTCACAAAACTTGCAGCATAGATTTGACCGGCATCTTTAACTTCTTCTAATGTGCATGATGAATAACTAGCTTAGAAAAAAGTCTAAACACAACTGAATAATGCTGGAAACTCTTTAGATGCTTCAGATGATAACAAAATGTTTGATTTAACTTATAGCCTTATCTGGTTATCAGATTATCGCATATGCAGGGAAGAAACAAGCACTTTACTCTCTCTAGCTCAGACGTGCATCTAGCTTAAAGGTCTTATTTTTGAGAGACCGGCAAGTATGTGCTGTGAAGAAACCCTTAATTCCATGGCAAATAAAAGCAGGTGGTAATCATGGATTAGGGAGAAAAAATCGAAAAATAGAAATGGCTGCAGCTCTTAAGGTAATGTGACATAGTTTAACAAAGCTATAATTTAACTAGCTATGGAAGCGAAGAATTCTCATAGTAAATTATCAGAGCATACAAGAGTTATTTACCCTGGATTATGAATGAACGAAAGACAGAAGCAATTGCCAAATGGATAATTGGGGGGAACTTACCGGTGCAGATCCAATCACCGATGCGGGGGAGCCATTTGGAATCGGCTGGGGTTTTATTGTCAACCAGGAGCCTCGGCTGCTTGCATCTGTTGCAGAAGCATCTGAAAGCGTAATTGCGGTTGCCACAACCGCTGCAGTCCCAATCGCCTTCTCGTCCTCCACTTCCTCCATCGCCGCCGCCGCCACTCATCCGTATAAACTTGCTCGTGATAGATTCTGTCCCTCACCAAGAACAAGAAAACCCCAGAAGTTTCTTTCCACCGAAAAAAAAAGGGAAAAAAAATTATGCGACCCGGTGATGGTTAATTTTAGTAGTAGTACTGATGGGATCAAAATGCCAGACAAACCATACCTACGTGGAATTACAATTTTTTTTTTTTTGGTGGACTGAACGGAGAAGGTGTAAAACAGTAAAACTTTTTTGCTTTTTTTTTTTTGGGATTAATTCTACTAAATCCCCTAGAGAAGTGCTTCTTTAATCTTTATTGTCTCTTTGAATATTTAATTGAATCGATTCACTCTCTGCATTATTACAAATTTCTCAATTAGATACAATTGGGTTGGATAGCCCAATCTCGTTCTGAATTTCGCATGTGCAACATATATAATTTTATGAACTGGCCAATATACACATCCCATGCTATATAAAATTTTACAAAAAAAAAAAAATTTGAACAAATTTCCTTATACTATATAAGATTGAGTTTTTGTCAAAGAGGAGGTTGAATTTCAACCGCATAGGTAGGGACTTTTTGGAAATTCCTTATATTATGAAGTGTTTTGCAAGTTGAAGGTACAGGTCAGGAAAGCATGTGATTGGGTATATTAACCGAAATGGCCTTCTTTATAGACATTTAAAACTTTAAATGTGGTTGCGTGTTTGGGTATTTATGGTATGTGCAATTAATCTGGAACCATTTGTTGCTTTTGGTACAACTCATATAAGCATGTGGATTTGTGTAATTACTGAAATGGCCTTTACACAGCACACTTTCAGCTCTTGAGCCGCAGACAGCCGTTTGGGACTCGCGCTTTGGCTGAAATTGCCAAAAATGAGTCTTGGCCGCTCTCACAGACAACTGTTTGTGTCTGTAACTTGAACAGCCTTTTTCCCTGCTGTTCTTAGCCACTGTTGCCTAATGTTTCATGAGCTTTCCGGATAACTTCATGTTTGCATCTGGATATTAGTTTTTGTATTCTTTGGATGTTGTCTCATGATATTGTTAGCTTTAGCGTCATGATTCCCAGTTTGTCTTTTCATCCTCTCTCAGGTGTGAACTCCACTGTTTTGATGTCATTTATGCCTGAATTTAACGGCCATAAACATGGGTTTATTAATGACTCCATATCTGGCCTTTTGGGATTGGGTTGTTTCCCCCCTTTCAGCTTCAGGGATTGGGATTTTCCATGCCTCTTCCTTTCCCCAAACGGCTGCGCATTGATTATGCTTATTTCAATGCCTCCTCTTTCATCTTCTTCGGTTTCACCCTTTTAATATTCTGGGATTTGGGCTATTTTTTATGCCTTTCTACCGAGCATCTCAGAATGTTCTTTAGCCGCAGCTACTCCTGGTGATTCAGCTTGAGGTAAGATTTTTCCCGCAATTTTGTCGTTCATGTGGGTGGTTTGGGCCGTGTCTGGCATTGATATGTGCTTAATTCCTAAAATTTGACACTTGGCCCTTGTAATTTAGCTGCAACATACAGATTTTTTCACAAATTTAGAAGGCCTCTGTAATTTGACTGGTGTTCTTATAATGTTATAGGTTCGGGATAACAGCAAGAAAAAGCTCTCGGTGGGATTTCTGGAATAAGGTTAGCTTTTTGGGTATCAAGTCATTTGTGTGGTTTTCTAATATTTGTCACTACGGAACAACATCTACATCCTGGAATACCGGAAGTGCAATAAACGCAACTGAAGTAGCCGACAACCCAGACCTTAACTCTAAAGGAACACAAATGGATATTGCAATACAAGCAGTGGAAACAAAGAAAAGAGACAACTCAACCACTTTGGCACCCTCACCGTCTACAAAGTCCAGTGAAGGAACCAGTGGTACAACCCCTGCAAAACAAAATGAAGAAACCACCAAGAAGCAACGTATCTGAATGCTGCTTATTACAGCATCTAAAAGATTTTACTACTATTACTATCACTAAATAAGTGGACATACATAATGTCTTTTTGAACTACTCTATTATCTATCTGGATCATGGAAAACCTATTTGTCCGTACATTTTTGGGAATTTGCTGCATCTACTTATTTGTCTTTGGGAACTTGCTGATTCTAATATTGGGTGGTTCTTATGTTGTTTATCTCGTAATCGTACCTACCTCTAATTATGTCACATAGTGTACTATTTTTAGTTCAACGAAAACACTTCTTTAACCACAGGCACCAAACACCCGCGCGATGCGCGGGCACTCCCCCTAGTTTAAACTAGTAAAATAAGTAGAGACATAATGTGAATATTATGCTTATTGTAAAAAATGTTGAACTGATGAAATATAAAGTACAATGTGTTTGACAATTATATTTTTTCTAATACATTTTGCCATTATAACAAAGATATCAAAAATAGTAACCATGAGTTAATATATAGTAAAATTAAATTCAATTACGATCAATCTAAAATTGCACAAAATTAGAATTTTTAGTGAGATGGGGAAAAACCAGCTTATTTTGAAAATTTTTCAACAAGACCAAGCAATTAAAAAATTTTTATAATTAAAAACTTGGGGGTAATTTGGCTAAGTCAAAATACTACACGCATCGCACATGCTAAATTCGGCACGGAATTGGGCTTCCAACCTAATTGTACTTGATTGGGAGAACTATAATAGAGTAAGGGGTGAATTGATTCGATTAAACATTCAGGATCAATGCGAGGAATAAGAATTTTTTGAAGGGGTTTATCAAAATTAACCCTATTATTATTATTATTATTTTAGGATGTGGAGCCTCTAGTGACATACAACACAGTACTATACAGACACTAGTATAACAAATTGCAAATACTAATATAGCGAATGTGAATACCAATACTCGTTTGTCTGATAGTGGTTCTGTCCCTGTCAGTTCCTCAGTTCAGTTGAACTTGCGAAGTTTAGCAATTTCACAGGTACGTCATTCTTTAACCACACTATCTAAGAACTGATTTAGCTGCATTAATTGGCCACATCGAGTAGCTCTAGAAAAGGTGGTCCCAGTTAAATTACTTCTAAAGTCTCTCAAGAACCAATGTATTGTTGTATGACACACCAAGATCATGATTCTAGATTTTCCCATTTCCTATCGTAATCTTGTTTTCAATCAACTTAATTCAAGCAAATTATGTTTTGGAAAGTAATCCAATGAAGATGAGCTACCTCGTTGGATATAGCAGTGACTACCCCAAGTATGTACATCACAGGGGAGCTTCAATTCCGGCAGATGCTAATACAGGTTGCAATGATGGGTTCAAGTGGCTTCGTTCACCAACTCCAAATCCAAACATGGCAACTGGAGCTCTTGTTGGTGGACCATTTCTCAATGACAGCTATATTGATTCCCGAAACAATTCTATCCAAGTAGAACCAACCACTTATAACAGAGCCTTCATTGTTGGTCTTCTGTCTGGCCTTCTCACCGCATCTCCAAAACTTCCGTCTTTCACATAGGAGAATACCAGTCTTGTGACTCTTGTCTATAATACAGGTTGCAATGATGGGTTCAAGTGGCTTCGTTCACCAACTCCAAATCCAAACATGGCAACTGGAGCTCTTGTTGGTGGACCATTTCTCAATGACAGCTATATTGATTCCCGAAACAATTCTATCCAAGTAGAACCAACCACTTATAACAGAGCCTTCATTGTTGGTCTTCTGTCTGGCCTTCTCACCGCATCTCCAAAACTTCCGTCTTTCACATAGGAGAATACCAGTCTTGTGACTCTTGTCTATAAACTGTGCAGTAACATGTAAATGTGAAAGACGAGATTGAAGAGTACATGAACTGTACAGATACACCAGCATAATCATATATTACCTAGAATCTTGCATATTTGCTACTGAATTTTTTCTCTGATGCGGTGATGCCCATATTATATCAGAAACCTCTTTTCCGACTTGCCTGTCAAGATTAAAGATTTGATTGCTGATGATGATGGTGCTTAGATGTGCCAATTTGGCGGCAGTACAAGGATAGCCTAAATGAGGTGTCACCAAATAATGAACAATTTGCACAGTCAAAAACCCAATAAACACGAAAACCTTCATCCATTAAAAGCCAAAACGACAGAAGAAACATTAAGAAAAGGATCGTAGAGTAAAAATTGCAAATTGACACCATGGGTAGAAAATTTTGCCAATTGACATCTGTGGAACAAAGTATGGCAGATGCTAGTTTTGATTATTGATGACGTAAATGAAAGCCAGTCCTTTTCACAATAATAATCTTAAAGAAACTGACCAGGCTCGCCAAAGGGAGATGGATGTGTTAGATATGAACTAGGCCGGGTGCCCCGCGAGTTTCGCGGGTGTCCATTGTTGATTGTTTAATGATAATGTAGGTTATAATTTTAGAGAAAAGTTTTTTTTTTAATTTTGGTTTTTGGTTGTATATTTTTGAATTTTTTAGTTTTTGAAATGTTATTGAAGTAATATTTTTGGAATATAGTTAATGGAAGGTAATGGAAAGTGGTATAATTAATTTGTATTTATTAAATAGCTATGGGTTTTTTGTTGATAAGTGTTTTATGGTAGTTGCATTTGTGTTATGTTATTTAATTTAAAAATGGAAGAACTTTAAGTAAATAATTCAGTTATTAATGAATATTATTTAAGGAGTATTTTTGAAATAGAGAGAAATTATGTTATATTGTGAAAAATAATTGGTTGGAGTAAAATATATTTTGAAAAAAGTGGAGATATATAAAATGGGTAATAAATAGGATATAAAAATATATTTATATCTTTTTGTAGCGAAAATAAGTCTGTGTTTGTATTATAGAATTAAAGTTGTTTTTTTAGAGAATCAATATTTTTGTTAATATATATATTGTGGAAGATAAATTATATATAAAGGGTATAGAATTAATTATAACTTTTTTTTTGAATATAAAGAAATTATTGGATATTTTTAGAAAATGGTTGGTGAAATGAATGGAAGTTAAAGATAGATTGGTATAGTTGATTTATATTTATTGGATGTGTGTGAAGTTTTTGTTGATATATATATTTTTGAGAAAATGAATTTTTTTTGATATATATATTTTGGGTGAGAAAATGTATGTTATGATTGTTTGATGTTGTTTATATTATCTTTTTTTTTTGTTTATATATGTGTGGTTATTATTGTAAATATTTAGAGTGGGCGGTAATGGTAAAATTTTGTGAAGTTGTGTAATGAGAGGAATTTCATAGTTGGTGGTAAATTTTTTATTTCATTACATAAATGATGGATAATTTAGGGGAATATAACTGTTATGTCTCATAAGCTGTAATGAACATTTGTTGATCAAGATTGCTGGATGAAGTCTCTGTCAAAGAGGTTGATAGAATAATTGTTGTCGTTGAGCAGGGTAAACAATAGTTATTAAACCCGGCCCGGAGAGGAACCCGGTGAAAGAGGTGGATCAAGAGATTACTGGTTCAACCAGCGGGTGAGTGGTTCAACCGGTGGGTCACTACATATATTTAAATATTATGTTTTATAATTTTTGATATGGTTAAAACTAAAATAAACTATGTTATAGTAAATACTCAGTTAGTCCAATTTATTATAGAATCATTAATTCTTATAAGAATTAACAAAACCTAAATTTAATTAGTAATCCATCAAACTTCAAGTATAAAATTTTATCTAAGTGTAATTATCTAGTTTATTTTTGAATTTTAAGCACGAAAGGTTATTAAGAATAATATTTGTTTTTAAAATGAATTGTGTAATATGTTATTTTTTAAATCTATTTCATAATTTATAGAATTTAGAGAATAATAAAATTTTATTAAAAGATTCCAAACAAATATTGTTTTGAAGAAATAAAATAAGAATAAAAATCTAATATATAATATAGAAGGAGTGAATAAGCACCAAGTGAGCTGCTAGGCTAGTGGTGAGTGCGCGTAGCTTTTATGCTCAATGATTATCCCAAAACTGGGTTCTTTACAAATTGTCCGATTTCGGTTGAACCGCCGGTCCGTTGAAAAGTCAACGGATTTGGTGCACAAACGATCCAATTACAAACTAGCCCAGTTTCATGGCCGGTTCATCGGATTGACCGGTTGAACCACCAGGCCGGGCCGGGTTTAATCAGCATTGGAGCATTTTCTAATCATTTTTATCCCAAAACTGGGTTCTTTACAAACTGTCTGGTTCAACCAAGCAACTCGGTTGAACCGCCGGTCCGTTGAAAAGTCAACGGATTTGGTGCACAAACGATTCAATTACAAACCAGCTCTGTTTCATGGCCAGTTCACCGGGTTAACCGGTTGAACCATTGGGGCGGGCCAGGTTTAATAACTATGGGGTAAACAACACGACACTTCCTTCATGCAAGAAATATTTATGTGCAAATGTCGGCCAACATTCTGTTATCTGCATTCCTTGTAGCGAACACGATTTTAAAGAGTCTATTAGCTCATTGATATGAAAAATTAATCATGGTTGTTAGCTTATTAATATTTATGTAATCATGAAGTCATTTATTTATTGATTAATGAATATGTTACTCAAAATCAACAAATAGTACACGGGCTTCTGTGTTATGGAGAAAAAACACAATTTTAAAGAGTCTATTAGATCATTGATGTCAAAAATTACTAACGCTTGTTAGCTCATTATATTTATCTAATCATGAAGTAATTTATTTATTGATTAATGAATATCTTATTCAAAGTCAACGAATAGTACATGAGCTTATGTGTTACAGAAATTTAAATTACAATAAGGTGACTCGAGGCATTTTTTTTACAAAATCAATATGTTTGTTAATATATATATTTTGAGTAATTAATTTATTGATTAATGAATATCATAATAAATATAAAAGAGAAGAGAGAATTATAGTTTGAAGAAAGAAAATGGAGGAGAAAGAAAAGGACGAAATTGGGGAGAAAAGCTAACATTTGTGAGTAAAGTCAGGCAACAGCGGAAGATCCAGGAGAAACAAAAGGACAAAATTGGGGACAAAATTACAGGCGAACCAAGGGAAAGGGCAGAATGGGAGCAAAGCAACAAAAAAAGCAACGAGGACAAGCGGAAGCAGAAGCAAGGGCGCTACATGAAGCCCGCGAAAAGACTAAAAAGGACAAAATGAGCTGCAAAACCACAGCGAAACCGGCACAATCAACTGTTCATCAGGCTTCGCGGCTTTAAGTAGTTTAGATAGTTTCATTATGTGTACGTAATCGTCTGCAAAACGGGAAGTTGGCATTATCAAAATATGCGTAATGATTGAGATACTAGGCCGTCTTGTTTATGAATTTGCAATTTTTACTCTACGATCATTTTCTTAATGTTTCTTCTGTCGTTTTGGCTTTTAAGGAAAAATCGTCAATTTAGTCCTCAAACTATTTTACTAAAGCCAATTTGATTCCTCAACATCTTATCGCATGACCTATACGGGACCTATATTGGTTTTAGTAAAATAGTTTGAGGACTAAATTGACGATTTTTTCCAAAATTTAATGTTAGTACGCATCAATTGCGTGACAAATTCAACGATTGATGGTTGACCGATCTGATACTGTCAATTGAATAAATAAGAATCTTACGTCCACGATCTTATTTGAATTATATTTAATTTGAAATCGGTGGATTTTATAATTTTAATTAGTGCATCGTCATTGATTCAAAACCAAAAATTTCTCCAATATCAAATTCATTTGACCCATTTTGTATCACTCAAATGTTAGACATGAATGCTACAACCTACACTTGATTAATAGAAATAAGATACTAGATTCAGTAGTATTAGTTGATGTGATCACTTGATCATGCAAATTTTCACCAAAATCAAGAGAATTGATTTACAATACAGTCTATCAATTAGATGTGGAGAGAGGAAAACTTATGAATTGGAGTTTAACGTGTTAAGTATCACAAGCACAATAATTTGTACGGGCTTAATAAATTATTACAGTGAAATAGTACACTATTTTTAGAAATTAGCAAACTTCTAGGGGTCAAAAAGAAATAGCCTGCTTCCATTATTTTAATCAAAGCAATTATACTAGCGTAAAAATTATCCGAAACACAGAAAAGAGTAAAGTGGAGAAGTAATACCACCAAGTGTTGGTTGGGCCTCTCCCTTAATTCCTTTTCACCTTAAAACCTTTCTTCAGACAACGCGTGTTGGACCAACGTCATCATCGTCCACCACCACCCTCCTCATCTCTCCTCTCTCGAAACATTTTCCCAGCTCCCCCATTTCCCTCAAAATCAAAGGTGCTATACTCCTCTGGCTTTTTATTTGATCTCTCTCTCTCTCTCTCTTGAGTTTTTTTAATTAATTTGTAATTGTCATTTGCCTGTGATACTGGCCCTTTTAATCTTTTGGTAAATTGGGTTTTTTTTTTTAATTCCTTTTCTTGTTTCCTGTAATAGTTGTGATTCGCGTAATGCCACAAAAGATTTTGGCCACCTGAGGCATTAGGGGTTAATTAAGAGAGGATTAACAATTTTGTATGTCTTAGATTATTGGGGATTCATTTCATGTAATGCTGTTGTATTTCTCTGCTAAAGTTGGGATTTTTCTCTCAGGGTTGTGTTAATTTAACTATTGAGCTATAGAAATTGATTAGCTTTTTATGTTCTAAGAAGATTTGGTGAAGATTGATCTGTGGACCATATTTCAGTACCTGGGGTTCAAATTTTTCTCACTTTAGTGCGGTGGCGATCCTGGTGTTGCCAGTGTAGCTAAAGCCTAACAGTATAGTGTAATTTTAATATGCTAGAATGGGAAAAAGCCACAAAAGCTTTCCTTTTGGTGGATTTGTTAAACATATGTTGTTATTTTACTAGCTTACTATCCAAATCTTTGTTAGGTTACTTAATTTGCTTTCTAAAAGTATTCTCTTTTTCTGTTCTTTTTTTTTCTCAAAGGATAGTGATGCACTTTCATTTCCTAGTTCTGCTATTATGTAAAGGAGTCTTTAATATGAGTTCAAGGTTCATTGCTCCTTCGGCATGGATGATTACTTTTTTACATGTACTGATCACTGATGTTTTATTTCATTGAGAAACAGCATTAGAATTGGATATGAAATTTGGGCTTTGAACTTAGTAGCAGACAAATCATATACAAATGGCAAGCAGTCTTTTGGTCGTTTATGTGATTTTGAGAGACGAACATGTGTACTTGCATACATAGTTCCCGGGCTTCTTATTTTCATTGTGTTTTTTCAGATTCTATGACACTTACATGTTGTAAATCTCTACCACACTCCCAATCTCTATCTCTCTCTCTCTCTCTCTCTCATCCGCGACCTAAATAGGATTATGAATATGGAGCTGTCATAAGATTCACTGAAATTCTTTTTACCTGGACCTTAGAAACTACATAAGTCATGTCACTGGTATATATTCTGGAAGATATTTCCTTCTGCTGGTGTTTATTGTGCATATCTTTGTTGATTCACTTCACTTTTTTTTTTTTTAATTCCTAAGCATGCCTTGCATGATTGTTGAAGGTGATGGCAACAGAAGAAGATGTCAACCTGGCAGGTTTTAAGTCTCAGTTGAGCCAAACCCAGTTGGATTGGAAGCAGGAGATGGAAAGAAACCAGGCACAAGTGGATGCTTTGCAAGTAAAACTTCTAGAAGTAAAGTTATGTGTACAAGGGTCCGAGGAAGACACAAAGAAGGAGTTGGATCTTTTATGGCGACGAGTTAAAACTACTGCAACTATGTTAACATACTTGAAATCCAAAGCAAGAATCATGGCTGTTCCTCATCTGGCCCATACCTCCTGCGGCATAAAACAAGTGGATGGAGTGGGACTTGTGGACAAAAATGGTGTACCGTTATCTGGATGGTCAAGGAACGTGGATCTTTCTCCATTTGAAGATTTAGAGGAAGAAACTTGGACAAAGCTTGCCAGTGATAATGACTTACTCGATGAACAAGATGGAGCTTATATTGGTGAACTACTGAAAGGTGTACAAATGGTGACAGATGTTATGGAATGCCTTGTCAAGAGGGTTTTAGTGGCAGAATCTGAAACTGCTTTGGAGAAAGAGAAGGTAACAGTAGGCCAGGAAGAGATAAAAAGAAAGGCAGTTCAAATTGAAAACATGTCTACAAAGTTAGAGGAGATGGAAAATTTTGCTTTGGGAACAAACTGTATTCTGAATGAGATGCGACAAAGGGTTGAAGAGTTGGTTGGGGAAACTTCTAGACAGAGGCAAAGAGCTGCAGAAAATGAGTTAGAGCTTGCTCGTGTTAAGCGAGATTTTGAATCACTAAAAACTTATGTCAGTAGTCTTATTAGTGTAAGAGAGACGCTTCTTTCATCAGAAAAGCAATTTCAGACAATTGAGAGGCTTTTTGAGCGGTCAGTATCTTCTGTTTTTCCCTTGCTCATTTTGCCTTTTCTTTGGCATTTTATAGATGCTTAGTAAATGGATGAGTAGAACCTCTTTTTTTTTTGCACATATTGAACTGTTTGTTTAATAGTTATGGAGCTTACTTTTAAAAAAAAAAACTGTCTGCAGGTATTTTCCATGTTAATGGTGTTCCACATTAATGAAAACACTCGTAATATGAGTATAACTGTAAAGAAATGAGAGAGATTCTCTTCATACATGACATACTCCTAGGAGAATTCTTTTCTTCCACCTGTTTCATTGCGCTTGTTATGAGTTTAACGTGGTTGATTACATTGTAAATGAAGCAGGCTAGTAGCAAAGACTAGTCAGTTGGAGAGTGAGAAAATGCAGAAAGAGGCTGAAGTTCAGAAACTTATGGAAGAGAATGTGAGGCTTAGTGCTCTGCTTGACAAGAAAGAGGCGCAGCTCTTAGCCATGAATGAGCAGTGCAAGGTTATGGCGCTGAGTTCTTCCAACATCTGATTTGGCATGCTTGGTTGTTTTCCATGGGCTATCTGCCCTGTTTAACTTTGGGAGTCACGTGTCCTATAGCCTTGGGTGGATGCTGGTGAGCGCTGCAGATGGGCGAAGGCTTCTTTTCTTGAAAACATACTCTCGGAAGAGACCTGTTTATTTCTTGTCATCTATCGGCTCACCATGAAAGATGAAGTAGAGAAGATCATTTGGTACGGATGCAGAGTTGCAATCCCTAGTCGATTGTTTCCTTCAGTGAAGTGCATATTGTCACTTATCAATTGTATGTCCTGAATGTTGTTCTCTCACGGAATGTGAGCTTTGACATTTTATTCCTGGCATAAAAGCATGTGTTGTGCCCATGATGTTTCCCAATTTCTGTTGTTCTGACTTGCTGCCCCTTGCGCTTCTAGCGCCTGAATTAGTGGCAGCATTTACTTTGTCTCGCAGTGGTGCCAGTACTTCGATTGCCGACAGCACCATCCCTTCCCTGTCAAGGGGCAAGTCATAAGATATTTGCTCATATGCACTGGGAACTGTTCAGAACTCAGCAGAATAGCTTGTCGTAGTTAGGATTTGATTTAGAAAACATCCTAGGATTGGAAAGGCAAGACTCCAAGTACGAGGATTTATCAACATCAGGAAGCAAACCCATCATAACTGTCTTTGTATTGTTGTTCGGATAGATTAGATTAGATTAGATTATATTTGCCAGAAACCCTTTTTTTTTTTAAAAGATTTTTGTTAATACTTTTTTTCTATCACTTCTTCTAATGGGAATTATGTAAATTTCTACAGAATATCCAATGCATATAATTCGCGTCGGGTAAATAAATAGTACTGAAACCAATCCCTTGGGAAGCATTTGGGATCCAGAAATGGATCTGTCTCTTCAAATCCGGATCATCCTTCTTCTTTCTCCCACAAAGAATAGAAATTCGGCCCCGAGAAGGCTCAAGTGCGAGTAGGCCTGTCAACGGGTCGGGTCTAGACCCGGATCCGGACCGGATCCGTAAATTATTGCGGGTATGGGTAGGGATTTAATTCCGTTTCCCGGATCCGTTTTGTCAAACAAAAAAAAGGGTCGGATACGGAATATAGTATTCCGACCCGTATTAGACCCGGATCCGGATATAAATGAATTAATAATTTAAAATATATATATTTATCAATATAATTTGATTAGGGTGATGTATTTTAATAAAGTTAATTTTGATTTCTTTTCTTATTTGATTTTTTCTTTGCATTAGTTAGAAATTAGTTTACAAATATATTTTTTTTTCATTTCTATTAGAAATTATAAAATTTGGTAAATTTGTTCGGGTAGACCCGGATCCGGATCTGGGACCCGCCGGATCCGGATCCGGAACATAGAATAAAAGACCCGTCGGGATAAACGGGTCGGATCCGGATCCGACATAGTAATTCGGGTCCGGGTCCGAAATAATGAATTCCGGCCCGGACCCGGCCCGTTGACAGCCCTAAGTGCGAGGACTGAGCATGGCAACCTTTTGGATTAGCGGGTCTGTTTAGCGCGGGTGCTCGAAAAGCGTGCTAAGCCCGACCCATCAATATACATTTAACACTGTATAAACTATCTCTGGTTGGTTGCGTTTTAGTACTTTACTTCCACTAAACGACGTAGTACTTCGCTTTACCAAAACTCCTCTGAAAAATTAGCGCCATTCCACACGCAAAAAGACAAAACCAAAGTCCAACCACTTTAACTTACTTGAATAACAAAGTAGTACTGAAAGCTAAAACCCCTCTCCTTCAATTCAACTCTCCCTCCCAAAACCCTAACCCTGATTTCATTCAATTCTCACCAGAATCCGTCAAATGTGAAGAAACAAGCGGCCCTAGTTAGTCCCTTCATGCAAAAAATAAAGAATGCCTCAAAATTTGCAAGGTGAATGTCAACCAGATGGGACCAATGAGTCCACTCCCAAAATACAACGTATTAAAATCACTAGGCCTTCCGAAGATTCCGAAAAGAAGGTACCCGTTTTCATTTTTCTTCTGTAGTTTTATGTTTCTGACTCTTGTTTTGATCGTAATTACGTAAAACTTAGCCCTTCTTGTTTCATTTTACGTTGTTATTGTTGCATGTTTGCAATTGCATGTGTTACTTGCAACTATGTGGGAATCTAACTTTTCTCGTGGTTGTTTTTTGTTGTTGTTATTGTTGTTTTCAAGCATTGTTCCTGAAGGTTAATTTCTATGATTTCTTTTCTATCATGTGACGATGGTTTAATTTTTCTTATGCTCAAGGCCTTTATTATTATTATTGTTATTTTTTGTGGTATTTGAATTAGTAAAGTTGAAGTTTTGAACTTTTTCAGTCCCCCTTTTAGGTTTGATCCAGCTGCATGCATGCGGATGTTGGATTATGTTTACAGTACTTTTTTTATTTCTGTCTTTATTTATCATAGGGAATATGCTAAAGTAGCTCGTGGGTTTTGAACAGATTGCAGTGAAGAGGGTCAAAGATGTGGAAGTTTCTGTTCCTATAGTTTATGGAACAATAGCATTTTGGCTTGGTAGAAAAGCCAGCGAGTAAGTAAAGAGGTAATTTTGAGTTGATTTCCTGCCTTTTCCTGCTGATTGTTTACTTATTTTTGAATGATTTGGTGTGAATTAGAACTCTGTCGCATAAGTGGACAGTTTATGTTCGTGGGGCCACAAATGAGGATCTTGGTGTTGTAATTAAGCGAGCTGTATTTCAGTTGCATCCAAGCTTTAATAATCCTGTGAGAGTTGTTGAATCACCACCGTTTGAGATATCTGAATGTGGTTGGGGTGAATTTGAAATTGCTATCTCCCTTTTCTTCCACAATGATGTCTGTGACAAGCAGTTAGACTTGTGAGTTATCCTTTGCTCTCTCTCTCTCTCTCTCTCTCTCTGCCTTTTAATGTGTGTATGGTCCTTTCTAGGTATCACCATTTGAAGTTGTATTCTGAAGAGGACAGCGGACCTCAGTCAACTAAAAAACCTGTTGTTGTGGAAACATACAATGAGATTGTTTTCCCTGAACCACCTGCAGATTTCTTAGCTCGTGTCCAGAATCATCCTGCAGTAGTTGTGCCTCGACTTCCTGCCACGTTAAGTCTGCCTCCAGGTATGGCATTTTCTTATAAAATGATGTTCGCTTAGTTTGCTCTAAATTCTCATTTATGCTTTATTTTCTCAGCTCCAGTTCAAGAGGTGCATGAAAGTGGCAGAGGTGACACAAAAGATCATATGCTTAGCCCCTGGTTCGTCAATTTCTCGGAGGCAGATGAACTGCTAAAGCTTGCCGCAGCTCGTCAACAGGTGAAAATTCTTCTTGTTGTTTTTTTGTTTTGTGGCTTCTCAAATACTTGACTTTTCCTGATTCAACCATGCATTGATGACTGTGCACATATGGTATTTTGTTCTTGATGAATCCTGTGTAGCTGCATATGTTTTGTGCCTCAAAGCCATTTTCTTGAAAAGATTGCAGTTGACGACGTTTTATGTTATTTGATTGGTGAGGAGTATGAAGTTTCTGTGCCAAAATACCATCAGTGAAATACTGTGGAAGTGTTTTGTTGATATTGTTGGGAGCACAACCTCACGTTAATCCTTCAGTCTTTTTCCCCCTCATTTCCATATTGCAAAGGTTGCAAGGGAAATATGTATCTTCAGTTTTAATCTTTCAAAAATTCATAATAAACTTTTTTCCCTTCGTCATTGTAAACTGTCTTGGCGGTGGATTATTGATGACTAACTTTTGTGGGTGTGTGTTTCTAAGATCATGTTTTTTTTTCCCCTTAAAAACTTTGGTTGCTTCTTTGACTCTTATGTGACTTAGCAATAGTTCTTGCATGATAGGTGCAAGCTCACATTATGAAGCTGAGAAGGCAATTGAGCATGATGGATGGGATGCCCCAATCTCTTAAACCAGCCTCTGGTTAGTGAATGTACATGATTGTGCAAGTCAACATTCAGCATATATGTCCACTCTGAATGGGTTGAACAATGAGCGCGTGTATGTAGTTCATTGTACATTTGAACTGACTCATTATCTAGGTAGCTTGCCACCTTTGTCTTTCCTAGTTCTCTTGCAGGCAGTGTCTTTTTATTCTTTTTCTCTTTGCTGTTCCTTAGGCTGGTAGGTTTAGGGATCGCTGTATTATTCTGTACGAGTTGCATCAAGTCTTGTCTAACTGCAATAGATGTTAATACAACACCGGATTTGCCTGTAAATAAGATTATCAGTGGTTTGTCTAGTTTCTGTGCTGCTATCTTTTAGTGAAGTTAAACTTCCTATTTCCATCCTTTGATGAGATCCCTTTGTCTTATAGTCAATTGACGGGCTTGCAGTTTGGCAATTACTAGTTGTATAGATGGTTTGCTGTGTGCTGGGACTCCATTTTTGGGTTACGATGCTTTTGGCGTACGCGATTGCCCAAAAACAAACTTCTTTTTCTTCAGCTGTGAAAAGTTCCTGGCTGTCCTTTCATTTGAAGCTGGGAACACATGCGGAGTTAAAGCCCCATTGGCCCTTTGCTATTCGTTTCCTACATAAATAAATGGCTCTCCCGATAATTGGATGTGAAGTGTCCGAATCAATTAAAAAATTTGTACACTCATGAAAGATCAGCAGGTCACTCCCTTGTCCTACATGTGGCTTTTTAAGCTCCCTTTTTTCCCTTTCCTTTCTTTTCTTTTGCCTTTCTCCTTCCTCTATGAAGGAAAGCAATAACGTATGCTTCTACAGTTGTGTAAAGAATCCGATGTCCGCATAATTTATCATCAGTTCAATTTATCATCTATTTGTCATTTATTAACTTTTTGCGGACAGCTCTCGATTCGATCCTTATACCTTACGGGATTGCCCTGAGGGTGGTATTTTGGGCTACGTTTAGCTGGTTGATAAAGAGAGTATCACTCTAAGAAATACGTAATTCATTGTTGTGTGTTTTATCCGACTGAGCAAAGCACAATCTGAAGGCACAGCTTAACCGCAACGCGAGTATTATTGGTAGGCAGGAATTACTACTGATTTTTGAGTAATGTTGCTTGCTTAATTTAGTTGCTGTTAGCGTTGGCAGGTTGGTTCATCAGATGATTTATGTGGTTGAATATGGATTTTTGTGTCTTCACCGGCGGCTTTGGAGGCAAAAGTAACATGGCCTTCACATGCTAATTTTTGAAAACTCTTGTCAATATCAAGCAGTAGAAACTCTGCTCTTTGTTTATTAGGAGTACCCTCAGGGCATTCCCCCTCTATTTGAGTTTGACAAGATGATTTGCTCACGGATGCCTCACCATCCTCTTATATCTGTTACCCAATCCCATTCACAGAACATGGGAAAAGCCAGCCATGGTTGTGATTATTACAACTTGACTGACCCATCATTCTCAATCAATACATTCTTCTCCAGTTTTCTTTCATGCGGTCGTGGTCTGAAAGAGGACGACAGGTCACATACCTATCAGACTCGGATAAGTTCATAGAGGGAGGAGGAATCCATTGCATTTTATTCTGACCTTAATAATCTCCTCAAAACTTTCCCTTGCCTTTTGTTTTGGCTTGAAAAGACTATCAGAGGAATTTGGTATGGAGCATGGATGAACAACCCTGATGCTTCGTTGCATCAGGCTAGGCAGAGGGCGAATTCTTTTGTTGATTGTAACCGAAACAGGGCAAAGCTGTTGACCTCAGAACATGGAAATCACTTCTTCTTTTTATATATATATATATATATATATATATATATATATATATATATATATATATATATATATATATATAAATTATGGATCCATATCTGCTAACATCTCATTCTTGTTTCTGCTCACATGGGAGGTTCTTCTTGTTGAAACATAATTGATGGAGCAGTAAGTATATAGTACCAACCAACCAACCTGTATTTGCTTGTTCGAGTGCAAGTAGTCAAAATTAGGAGGAGGGAGATTTCTAACTGGAGCTATAAATGGCACTGTTGAATGGTCACCAGCAGAATGCTTCGCCAAAATGAAGCGTCCAATCCAATCATGCTTGTAAATGGTCCTTCTCTTAACAATAGATCAGCTGCAATTTTTTCTAAACACACTAGACTACTAATTGCTATGCATCATTTCCTTAACAACCAACCTTGCACAGTAGTACGCAAGGACATTCATCGATAGAGACTGAGATAGACAGAAGCACCATGTTATGTACGTTTGCATTGCGAACTTGCGTACGTAGTACTGATATAATTAAATTAATGTTTTCCGTAGACCCCACGTTTGGAAATGGAGGACAAAACAGCCGAAACCAGGGACAGGATGCAAGTCGCTATAAGCTACTTTCTTAGTACATTCATTCAAAACAACTGCTGTTTGTCGCCTTAGTTTTGAATGCTACTACTCCGGATTGGGATTGGGGACCCAAATTAATGGTTGCCCGTTGAACTTATTAATATTGATCTTGTTTCCTTAAAAAATAATAATAATAAAGGGTTAGGACTTAGGGCATGCATACATTTGAACCAAAAAAAAAACACAAAAACTCACGTACCCTTTTTTTTTTTTTTTTTTTTCAATGTACATTTCCCTAATCCTCCATTTTTCGAGAGTAAACTTGATTTTTTGCTCTCAAAAAAAAAAAAAAAAATTATGCCAAGGTGATCGCATTCTGTTCATCAACCTAGCTAATATTTTCAAGCATCTACCTTCCGTGGTACAGAAGAAGACTCTTCCTTTCTATAATCTATAGAGGGCCTAAACCTCAACTCAAAATAAACGAGTAAATTTAAAATGATCAAACGGTCTCTAGGTACATACATGATTGGTTCTTTTACCTTTTTTTTTTTTTTTTTCTTTTTTCACTGAAAGAACAGTGGTCCTGGATTTACGTGCAAATGAATAGTAGAATGAGTTGTCCTTGATCTTTTGCTGAAACATGTAGCTACACTGCCATTTGTTTTGTTCGGAGAAAGGACGAAGGCATCCCTTTCTTGTACTTAATAAGATGATCATTCACAATAGACAGCTGCCATTCATCCATCCTTGAATGATCAGTCTTGATTCGTTCATGAATCCATATTGAGCTCACAAGAAGTTGTACCTTGGAAACTAACCAATGTCATGATCATGCGAAATGCTACAAAAGAGCAGCCCATATCATATGTAAATTCTACTGGGACAGACAGAGACTGCAATCTCCTTCCTTGGCCACAGAAGTAGCCAGAAACGATTAATGCTTCCGATACATCTAACCTCTGACTTGGGGAAAAAAAAAAGAAGAAAAACATTGAACTTGAAAATATGAGGGAACTGAGAATGAAGTTTTACTACCAGCAAGAAGCCAAGAAACTAGTGTAGGCCATGGGATGATTCGTCAGTTTCAATTCCGTGCCACCTAGCAGTTCCGAAGGTGGAACTGGAAACCGAGGTTGTTAATGCCAAGTATCGATAACGAACATGGATGGCGAAACTCAAAAGCATTGGTTTTACATGCCTTAAACGTGCCAGACAACAGACTCCCACCCTGATTAAACTAATAAGATGGTTGAATTGTCATTGCGTGACCTTTTGGCGACCTTACAACTTAAGTACCGTGTGCATGAGTATAACGTACCATATCCTAATTCTCTCGATCAATCATTAATCAAATGGGGATTTCACGCACAATCACACTGTCCAAAACACAAATACACACATAGGATGAACGGAGATTGGAGTTTATGGTATAGAGCATAGAGTATAGTGGTCCACTTTGTCTATGGGAGGGGTAACAAGAAAAAGGGAAAAGGCCAAATGGGGAATGAGGTTGCATGGCCTTGAACAAGACTTCTCAAATAAGAACATCTAAGCCCTGTTAGTTTGTTGCCCCCACACTCCACATGTCTTTGTTTCGCAGATAATCACTCCCTGTCTTCTTCTTTTTCCCCATAAATACAACTACTACTCCTCCACATTCTCCTCAATTCATCCCCACCTCCTTCGAATCCTTCATTCTCTTAATACATACAATTTCTATCTCTTCTTTGCCTGGCTGAGCCTTTTTCTTCTAAAGTCCATAAACATGGCTCTTAAGAAAGGAACAAAACATGCCGCTACTCAAACGGCGGCCCTCAAACAAATCCTCAAAAAGTGTTCAAGTTTTGGAAGGAAGAATACTGGTCATGATCACGACAATAGCCTTCCACATGATGTCCCAAAAGGCCATTTTGCAGTATATGTTGGTCAAAATAGGACCAGATACATCATCCCCATTTCTTGGTTGGAACACCCGGAATTCCAGAGCTTGTTACAACGAGCTGAAGAAGAGTTTGGCTTCAACCATGAGATGGGCCTCACCATTCCTTGTGATGAAGAAGTTTTTTGCTCTCTATTTTCCATGATCAGATAATTAAGGGAGCTGATGATGCAAGATGGAGTTTCTTGTCGTATGTAGAGGTGGATTAAGGTTTACTATAACATGGATGATGGGCACCACCGGTTACTTAAGCTAACTAGTTTAGTGCATGGGATATCCATCATCTGACCACTTGGAAACTAATTGTCTGGTTTTTTTTCATTAGTGGAGATCTGTATATACACGAATTTGGAAATTGGAAATTTCTCTTGTTTTTGTTATAGTCTAAGAGACAGCAGAGCGGAGATTTCCAGATTTCCGTTTTTTTCCCCTCTTCATATGTATACGAACTATGAAGTTGCGCCAAAACTTGACCATTTGCATTATTTTTTTGGTGAATTCTTTCAAGGCTCATGATTCAATCTAAAATTCATTGTTGGTCTGAGGTTATGAAGTTCTACCGCGGTAGTTAGCAGTAACATGATAGATACTTGCTTCATTTAAAGTATGTACTTGATCAATCGTCTGCATTAATCTGCAATCAGGGAACTAACCAAGACATGCATGAAATGAAAGCATACTGTATCATGACATAGTTGTCGAAACTTGTTTCTCTTTCTGGTTCGATCATTTTGTCCGAAAAGTTGAAGATTGAAACGTGTTCTGAAATAAATGCTGGGCTGTATTCGATTTTGGTGGTTATATATCAATTTGAAGATCGCACGGGCACTTAGAATAATATACAAGGTAAGCCAATAATATTCCTATGAAGATTGTAGAGCTCAAAGATATTTAATTACGTAGACATAATATCCTGTAAACCATGCAACTCATTGGTGCACATCTTAAATGGGAGCAACGTCCTACTGCTTACAGTCTCTGATACAACACCTACCAAGTTTTTCAAAATAATTTCTTTTTATTTTGTTTGTTTCAAAGGAGATATTGAGTCTTGGAGAAGGGAAAAACTAGAAGAATTGAAAGTCGAACAAGTGGTCTCACGACCTACGAAAGGTTGAGTTAGATGGTAAATTAAAAAGATTTTAAATAAGAGATTTTAAATTCAAAATCTATCATTTAGAAAAAAAAAAAATTGACCATACGATCAACTAACTAATGATATATTTTTATTTATACAATTTCATAATCAACTAACTAATGGCTTACTATTATTTACACAAGTATTAAGAGTTCGCTCAATATAGCCAAAGGCCTCAACATAAAAAAAAAAAAAAAAAACGTGTTTTTTACAATATGCACTCTCGCATTACAGATGTAAGTGTATACTAAGATGAATGATATACACATTCAACTAATATTAAGCAACTAACCAACCTTTTGATGCACCACAAAGTTTTTAGTGTCACTTTGACAATTACTTTCCGTGGACTTGGAAACCATCTTATTTTTTCGTACTCTATGATCACACGTTACATGCAACTTGAGTGGGTCAAATCCCATTTTCCTTTTCATAAAAGAAAGCGAAATACTTGAAGCTACATAACTTGGACTTGCACATCATCATCATGGTGTAAAATGAATTACCAATAAAGTCTTTGCTTCTTATCCTTTTTAAAAAAAATGATAATACTATATAAAAAAAAAAGCCATTATGATATTTCCACTATCAAAGAAAAAAAACGCCATTATGGAAAACAGTTTTCGATTGAAAAAAAAAAAAAAAGAAAGAATGTAGGGACGTACTCATCAATTCTCTTATAATTGAAAAACAAATAATCCGACATTGAAATTCTTTTTGTCCACTAAAAACTTTATGGTACAATAAATCTATAAGGAGGCTACTGATTTTCCCTATTTTAAGTGATAATTTGGCGTTCAAAAGGTCCCATATGTATGCTAATTGCCCCCGCAGCCCGAACCACTAGTAATAGTGATAAAGACGGCATCTGCAATCTGCATGATGGTTAACGTACGCGTTTCTTCGTTCTAATTTTTCCATGTCAATGACAACATTCAAGTCTTTACTGGCCCCTCCAAGCTATTGAGTAGGCCATTTTTTAGCCAATTATTCAATCCCCATTTCGATCCACCGGCAACTTATTTCCATCCACGCAGCTAGCTACCTTTCTTGTCAACCACTAAATTAGTTTGTCATATCCGGAACCAGGGATATTGCATCCCAGCTTTGGCCAAGTTCTTTATTTTCAGTTCTTACACAGCTTCTCTATGCATGGATATGAACAAGAGAAAAACTACAAAATGTTGGAGTTGACTTCGTTATTGCGGACAACTAGTAGTATGAGAAAGACGTAACGTCTCTCGATCTGGTATTGAGGAGATAGCAACTGATTTGTGTTTGTAATTAATAAGGGTCAATCGTTAAGAGAGTACTCTACTTAATTCTTTGTAAAAGTGAAATTACTTTGAGAAAATGTCTAAATACATAGATGTAATAAATATGAATATGTGCATGCATTCACGTAGTAGTAAATTCATCGTATCTTAAGTGTATTATCGAGTGTTTGAGCAATCCTTAAAAGAAAAAAAAAAGAATATGAGTGATTGACTGTGACAGTTAAATTCATCCATCGCACTCAAGTTTGATTTTTATTTATTTTCATTTTCTTGCCCCTGAGTTTTAAGCAATGGCTTTTGGTCTTGCAGATGATCATCATTTCATCATTAAGCAGGGAAGTCGATCGATTACTGATCAGTTTTATTAAGTAGAACAGAAGTCAGGTTAATCAATTCCATCAATCATCAAATATTGATTGGGCATGGTTTCATAAATCGACCAAGACATGCATGTTGGAAACATATTCTGCCCAGCACATGCAGTTGGGACCTCCAAATGGTCCCCTAATTCAATGGTTTGATTAAGTTCACACAATTGAAGATTAAGATTTTGGTCTCTGGATTTGGATTGGACGTAAGACCTAATACTATTAGGGTTTATTGACGGAACCGAATTAAGCAAATCCATACTCATATTCGTAGGAGGAATTAGAAGCTGATCAAAAACAATTTCCTTTGTGCTAATAAAACTCTGATTGATAAGAGAGGCGTTAAACCCTCACATCATCCTCCAGTCATTCTTCATTATATATGTTTTTGACTCTCAATCACCTTAAGCTATGATGTCATACATTTCATGAATATATATATATATATATTGGAAAGTCAAACCAAAGGAATCCACTGTAAAAGTTGAAATTTGTGTTCACACAAAACCAAAAAAGTCTTCTCATCGGGTCAAACAAGCATTTTCAGTAGAAAGAAAGCCTATTCAACGCATAAATCCCCGTTATAAAAATAGTAGTCAATCTTTCGAAGTCATTGCGATCACCATTAGTGGTCCAACCATTCATCTGAAATTGACATCTTTTGTAACTTCACCGTCGAAATTTCTGACTTCCATAACCAAGTCAACGTCAAGTGAGACAATTTTATTGGTCCTCGGTCGCCGCCCAAATGCCAAATAAAATAAATACGTACCTTCGGCGCACTTTGGAGAGCCAAAACCATTGATCGCTACCGCTCAAGAACTTCAATTCGGAGAACACTTTTGTTGTGCTTGAAGACTAAAGAAAAATTATACCAAACGTTTGGTTGTTGCACTATTATATTTTCCAGATCAGCTGCCAGGCTTTGATACAGATGAATTTTGGCAGTCCCTTTCTGTGGCCTGTACAGTGTCTCCCTGCCTGTTCATGCACAGAAATAATGTGGCAAGAGAGACTCTTGTTTGTGAATTGTGAATCAAACACTTGGGATGGATAGGATTTGATTTAGGTTGTAGGGAAGTTCTGTTGCATCTAATTCATAGCGTGACTACTTGTGCTAGGAAGATTTTTATTACACAATTCTGTCTTCGTCATCGGGCTTTCATCGACACCACACAATCTGGAGAACAATACTAGTACTGTAAACTAACGTCTGTTGCGATAAAGAAGTCCTTTCCTTTTTGGGAATGACAGATGTGTGAATTTCAATCTTAGAATTGGTTGGTGGAACATTAGATTTGGTTTGTGGCGACTAGCTGTGTGGTCATTGTTACACGAGAAAGAAAGAGTACTACGGTATTATAGTAATAATCCGTTTGGATTAGCTGTTTTTGGGGTGTTTTTGAAAAACTTTGCTGTAGCAGAGTTTTTAGAGTATATTTTGAAATATTTTTAGAAAATATTTTGAAATATTTTTTATTGGCACTTTATTATGAGATATTTGGTGAAATTTTAAAAAAATTTAAACTAATTTTTAGATTATCTTTTAGAGTACTTTGTTGTAACTTTTATTGTATCTGAAAAACTAGTTTTTGAAAAACACTCCAAAAACAGGAGATCCAAACAAAGCTGAATTCCTGTTATTTCAAAACCTGAATCTCGAGTGAATCGAGAGGAAGGGGGCCGGTGTGAAACATAAAATTAGGAATTTTTTGCTAATAATATCCTTACAAAAGTCTACTTTCGAAAACAAATGCATCAGGCGAAGAAGAAAAGAGATACGAAAAGTACCCTTCTTGCTAACACAACTTTTCTTAAAACGCATCTTCGGAGAAAATCAAATTTCCATCATCAAAGGTCAAGATTTAGTTCGATGAAAGTTCAGCGAAAGAAATTCGAGCAGAAGCGAGCCAGTGAGTCAGGAGGCGGGAGACGGTTGATGACTATTCACTGGTCTACTTTTTATGTCTCAAATCTTCTTTTTTTTTTTTTTTTTTAACGGAGACGGTAAATCTATTCTATCCTCCATTAGGGGGAGGGACGGAACTAAAGAAGTCCAAAGGTAATTTGGAAGGGACTGAACCACCACCGTGCACCCGACTGAATATTTTTTAAAGTAAAATCACTTAACGTGGCAATTGAAGCACTGAAATTTTGAAGCACTCAAATCTGAGGACACTAAAATTTTGAAGCACTGAAAAGTGAAAACCCACTTAACCTTAGGTGGAATACCTTACCCCCCCAAAAAAAAAATCTTTTAAACCGTAATTTTGTCCGCATCAGATATTTACACCTTTATCCACCAACTTAAGAAGGCGTTAAAACTTTTTGAATATGCAGAAGTAAACACCTTTGCTCCATCACTCATAAAAAGGAGTGTATTTTAAGGCGGAAACGAAATGTAGCCTGCAACTGTTCCAGATAGTCAGTCACATATTGTTTTTGGCTACTGGATCCAGCAAATGGACTTGGAAAATCAATCATCCTGCTGTATACAGATATAGTAAGTGAGCATAAATAGACGGAGTAGGAATGTACAAGCCAGGCTATATCTCGTCATAGCCCTCAATCAGTAGACGAAAGAGGAAAGGTTTTCCAAAATGGAGAATTTCAAGCAGTATGTCTGTTTTGGTGCATATTGGGCCGAAAAACATCTGAGTTAGAATTGCTCCATTTCATTTAAAGGGCCATGAGTTGGGTCGGGTTCCAATTCGCATAATTTAATTTCTACTTCAAAGGTCGTTCAATTTGTCAGAGGCACAAACAGTCTGCCTAATGGCCGCTCATTCAATATAACCACGAAGTTTTGGATCTTCCAACCAGTGGGCAGTAAAAGGTGTTTCCGTAGCAGCCCGGGCAGCGGTTAATGAAAGGGTACACGCATTTCTGGATTATCAACTACGTTTCACCACCAAAAACTAACCTCTCCTCCATAGCCTTTGCAATCCTGATAATCATTCAAACTCTGGATCGATCCTTTTCAAAAAGCTTATTGCATTGCTCGCTATTTGCATCCGCACAAGTAATTACGGATGGAGGCAATTTGCTATTTCCACGTTACAGCGGAATACGACTTCCCACATCGACTTCGTTCGCTACATGACTAACAGACAGCCAATCGATTTGGTTTACATCAAATTTTAGAATCAGCTAAAACAGAAGCGTAAATTGGAAAACCATTCACGTCTCTAAATGAGCACTAGCCAAGTTCAAAAGCGTACATAATTTTTAAGGTCTCAAAGGCCAAATATTATCCTATACCAAATTGGGCTGCAGAACATGGATTTGATGATCTCCCGTGCATAATATACGAGCTTTGACGCTCTTAAGATTAAGATTACAATCATATTTTGGAATGATCACCTCCTTACAGGTGGCACAACGCCCCTGCCAGGTGGAGCTCCACGACCAGCAACCTGAGCCTGCATACACGGATGGCACAGTCAGGCAAACTTCACCCCACAAAACTTAATTTGTAACCCCATATATTTCTCCAAGCTAATCATTTTACATACTCCGTACAACTAAATTTTCTTTGTTTTACAGTATTTGTTAAATCCCAGTTCTAGAGAGGCCATCCAGCATTGCCTTTTCTTGACAAGAGATCATAATGCATTTCAGAGCTTACAGTAAAGATATGGAGTGTCATTCCTAACTTTTGGATTTAAATAAATGATCTTGGAGTATAAGATGTAAAAGTCACGAAATAGATCTTACCCTGGCTCTCATGGCAACAGCACGTCCCCGTCCAACGCCAAGTGCTGAACCCTTGCCCTTCAAAAGATAATATAAAAAGTGTAAGCAGAGCTGTGATGGTCACAAATACACTCTAATACACATGGGCAAACTGGGAAAGCACCTTGATTCTAGCTTCTAGACGTTTGAACATTGGAGCATTCTTAAGCATATCGGGAATCACCATAAACCTGATAAAAATTTGTTTTACCCGCAATCAGAACTCAGAAAGCAGTTGAGAGAATCAAAAAACATTTTATATTACAGTTTTTGTACCTGACTTTGCTTCCTCGAATGAAAACATGCTCAAGTTGTGATACCTTGCCATCCTGTAAAGATACAGACCAAAATTAGTCTTCCACAAGACTAAAAAAAGCCAAAAGGGCACAATATAACATCTTAATCCGATGAAACTCTCTCTAATAGGCAGTCAAAAACAACTGAAGTCTTGAAGCTAATTTGCTTCAGTTCAGAGGTTCAAAAAAGAAGATATCAGGATTGAGGCGGCTGAAGATGTAAATTATATCAGTGCTTCAAAGATCCATGAAAGGATAAGAGACTGTTCAGAAGCTATCAACAATTCAAAAAGAGATCTTACATTCTGTAGCCATTGATGTAGAAGAAATTATATGGCACTGGAAATAATTGCTTATGAATGTCAAAAATGACAGGTCCAATTTCAATGAAATTATCAAGGGAGGAATACTCTTAAAACTAGCTGTCAGTTAAAATAAGTATGATAAATGAGCATCCACAGGTCAAAAAGTTCCTTACAACCCCAACCCCAAGTAGTCCGACACGCTGTGAACTCTAATGCATGTGTGCAGAAGACACTTAATTTGTTGTAAAATCTGAGACGTGCATCTGATACCTAAAGGACACATCATAAAATAAGATGCTTAAATCTACAATAAAAACACATATTAAAGACCTAACCCACAACAAAAAAAAACACATATTAAAGAACAGTTTTGCATGTAAGATCAAAGAATTTAAAAAAAGAAAATACACGACCTGGAATTTAGTTGGATAGAATTCTGTTATATGAGAACATATTGCCAATAATAGTTTTAAAATACTTTTGCCACAAACATGAAATTCTTACTACGAAAACCTGTATAAATCATTTATGAGCACAAATACAACTGATTGTCCTCGTGTTCTGAATAGCATTCACCACCCAACCCATGTTACCTCCTTAAAGAGTGAATAGATTTCAATTCCAATTTACTAACATCCCATAGTTTCAATTTTCCTGCCACAGAAAATCATCGTTGGCTTCCGCCCATCATGCATTGGAATCAAAGTGAAAGAAAAAGGCATTACGAAGCTCGAAAGCAGCATAAAGACACCGGAAACAGAAAAGCACTTTCACAATTCTTAATGAAGGGCATAATAACATTGGAACGAGAGTACCTTAGCTGTGAAAGTGATGTTCTCGAGCTGGCAATTCCAATTGTCTTCGCATTCAACCATGCTGCCTCTATAGAGCTCTCCGCTCTTCAGCTCTACGGTCACGATGTGTCCTGTGGCTTCGTGTAGAAGCTTCACCGGTATACCTAAGCTACGACTCATTGCTATTGCTATTTCCTGCTATGCTCCCTACGCAAAACCCTAAACCCAAAGTCCAGCAAGAAAACTACCAAAAATTAATTAGCAGAAACTATATACCAATAAATCCATCACAAAGCTTCGAAAAAAAAAGTTTAAAAAATCGTAGACAAACGTAAAAATAGAAGTGTACAATCAATTCTAAGAATTATAGCAAAAAAAAAAAAAACAAAGATGCATACAAGAGATTGAAATTTGTGAGATTAAAAGTAAATAAATAAATAAAAGGCGAGAAGAGAGAGATAAAATAAAGTAACCTTACCGGATAAAGAGGTAGAGAAGTATATCCTCGCCGTTGGCTGCCGCCGGAAGACGCTGCGTTGCGGTTCAGCTGGGAGAACTGTGTCTTCAGTGGGCGTGTACAAGTGAGATCCGCTATTTGACCCGCCTATGCCTCCTAATCTTTTCCTAACTTTTTATTGCCTGGCCTTGGGCCTTGGACTTTTACTTGGTTAGAGATCATTACTAGTTACTAGTTAGTAGTTACTACTAACTAGGTATTAGCTTCTCTATATTTTTACTTTAGTAGGAATAACACAAAAAGCAAAAGGCTTTTCGAGTTGGAAAAAAAAAACTAAAGTGTAATGGCAATGGTTTTGGCAAAGGAGGTTCTTGAAAATAAGTGGTTATGCAAAATTTAACAAGGGTTTTAAAAAAATAAAAAGCAGGACAAAGTAAATTTTGCAAGTCCACGTGTTATGGCAAATGGGCCCGCATGAAGAAAAGATAACAAGATATTAAAACTACTTTTAGTTTATGAGAATTTGTGAAAGTAAATAGTTTTCTTTTTCTCAATAAAAAATTACCTATAAACGGTGTAAGGTTTGACATAAATTCGGACCTATTTATTAAAAAATTCCAAAGAGGATATACACTTCTCAATTTTAACTGATTGAAAATTTTACAAACTTTTAAATGATTTCGACATACTCCACATTCATAGTATTCTGAAGGTGTTAGAGTTTTTTACTTTAAATTTTGTTGCATTTGTATTGTTTTACTGCTAGTTTTGAACTTCTTTGAAATTATTTGGATGAATTGATCATCATCGATGTATTGATCTCTATCACTCTTTGTGAGTAGTCAGCTTCTTTATTGTTGTCATCGTTGATTATTCGAAAAACACTTGAGCAATTGTCGCGCCCCACTTTTTGATTGTGTAGTGTGAATGTGTGTTGGTGATGTGTGGTGTGTGGTGTGAACGTGTGCAAAATGAAAAGTAAAAAGGCCATGGGACTTTGGAAAGCGACGATTTGGCCAAATGAAATTTTAAAAAGGGTTTTTAAATATGAAAAACGGAGTCGCCACTTGGTATAGATTTGGGGTGTACCAAGTCACCCAAAAAAAGTGTTTTTTAAAGACAAAGTAGTAAAACCCTTTTTAAAACGACTCCTAGTCCACGTAAGCCAAAGAAAAAGGTTCGGGGGTCACGTTTGACAAAGGGGAAGGCAAGGATAGAATCCAAGGCACCCCTTTGACCTAGCCAAGGCTAGTTGCGCGACTCAAACCAATTTTTCCTAATTTTTCTACCCAAGGTATGTATCACGTATTGGATATGTCTATATGAATGCAAAAACCTAGACCTAGGGGGATTGGGGGAAATTTCTCTTCAAAGGTTGAGTGGTGCCAATCACATTAATTGTGAAGCCCAATAATGATCCTTTTGGAGAGGTCACACCTAAACCTAAATGACGTGAAAAATGAGTGGAATGCATGCCATGTGAAAGTGTGAGTTTATGTGAAGTGAAAAAATGATAAAAGTAATAAGATAAGAGTGAAGGTGTGCAAATGTAGATGAAAGTACTCGTGTGCGAGTGAAGATAAAAGTGTTCGTGTGCAAGTGAAAGTGATAAAAGGGTGCATGTGTGCAAATGAGACAAAAGTGAAAGTGTAATGATAGAGTGGATTGAGAATGCATGAGCCTAGGGAATTCATGCATATTGGGTACGGGGAGACCTAAATCGTGACTTGATTTTCCCTTTGATTAGAAGGCGAAACTAGCGTGCTAAGGCTATCGAGTAGCCACACTCGCTCGTTTCCCTTATCAAGAGGGGACACTCAAGCAAAATGAACCCTATAGCTAGTATGGGATGCAAAACCTAAAGTGAGGGGAAAGGGCTCGAGGAGCATGCCAGATGATAAAACTAGGGAAAAATGCATGATATGTAGTGAACAAGCAAATGATATGCTAATGAGGGGAAATCCCTAAGGGTCTAGCGTTGGACTAGCCCATTCTATGAATTCCGACTAGCGTTGGACTAGCGGAAACGTACATTCATCCATTCCATTCATTCATGGCTATGAAAGCAAGTAGACATGCCAAAATACTCGTAAACACATAGCACATAGCATTTAGCATGCTCGACTAGATGCAAGAACCTAATAAAGCAATTAAACATGTAGCAACAAAAGCAAGCAACCAAGGGGAAGGGGAAATGGACCAGATGCTCTCCGAGCACTATCTATTACAAGCCAAGAGGTGTACACATACCCCATAAAAGCATAAAGGGGAAGGGGAAATGGACCAGATGCTCTCCGAGCCCTATCTATTACAAGCCAAGAGGTGTACACATACCCCATAAAACTTAAAATAAAAGCAAAAAAACAAGTAAATGCATGCAAGGAGGTAAGGAAAGCGAAGTAGACATGCATATTCACATAACACGTAGGAGCACGTAAGGTCAAATGTAGTGCAAATGAGGGATAGAGTGTACCTCCCTTGAATTGACGCCCCAATGAAGTGAAATTATTCAATTACCCTCCAAAATAATAAAAAGGTCAAGGCACCACTTTAATAATAAAATATAAATAATCCAAATGGCATTCATCAAATCATCAAATCATTCCTCAATCACAACTTAAATATAGTCAAAAGATACTTAAAGATCAAGGAGAAGGCATGACCTATTCAAATCCTAAATAAAGCACATGATAAGGACCCAAATGCAACCACTAATCTAATCAAACAAAACCAATTGAGATATTTTTAGGAATTTTGAAGGTCCGAGAACAAAGGAAAGTCAAGTGAGTTAAAATGCAATTACTTCATGACCCAATAGCAATAAATTAGAGCATTAGTGAGCTTTGAAGCATTACTGCAAAAATCACGGGGATCTAATTGAAGAAATTATTCCATTTGTTGGGTCATTGTGAAACAAGAGGAGACTTGGAGGTCTAAAAATGCAATTTTTGGAAAAATATTTGCATGCATGCAATCAGCAAATTTCGACCAAAGCTGCAACCATTCCTTCGGCCATTTTACTATAGTTTCTCGCACACAACTTCAGCAATCCCAAGCAACCTCTTACAGCAAGCACACAATTCAAGCTAAACTATGAATCAGCTCCACTCAACCATGTTAATCAACTCTCAAAACACCTCAAATAAATAGTTCAAACAATCAAAATGAAACTTGCTGCATTTTCGGTTTCCAAGTTTGCGGTAATTTCCAGCAATAACTACATCAATTTCATCATACAAACAAATTCCTCAAACAGAAACTATTGACCCAAATCAAAACATGAGATTTTGTCGACAAGATTGAGATCACAAATCTGGTTTGATCAGTAAGAAAAAGAAAGAGAACTGCAGCAAATTTCTGCTCATAGCTGATTGCAAAAAAACACAACAAGAAAAGAAACAAACATTCCATTAAGACCACAACAAACATAACCATTTAACCACTGCCCCCACAAGCGCAACTCAGAATTAACGAACAAACCTCAGCCATAAAACAAATCAAAGGCTGCTGCAACCAATTGATAGAAAATAGGAACCATGGCAGCAGATTTTTATGCTCAAACTTAGGTGTAATGCAAACATGAAAGCAAGCCACAGGAGTGCCCAAGATTCTTCCTATTTTCCAACTTTTATATTCAAGCACCAGAAACTCATACGAATGACAACAAAACTTCCAAGTCAAGAACATGCCCGACACGCTACAAATTCAGCAACCAAGAGAAGGAAAGAAAAGGAAAAAAACGAAACGGCTGCATCAAGCCAACAGCTTGAAGCTTGTTGCAGTAGACTCTGAATCTAACTCTTAAGGGTTCTAACAGTCAAAACAAATGCCACACAGACCATTTTTAGACAAAACAAGGTGAAAACATGAAGGACGCACAGGGGAAAAACAAATGGTTTCTGGTTTCGGGTGAAATCTATGGTGGTATCATCCGAAATCAACTAAAATTTGCAGTTTCATCAGCGGACATCCAAGATTGATAGCCATGACACGGGTTCCCCATCTCCCAAGATGCATACAGCAAATTAAAAAAATGGTTTAACAGTCAAATGAAAGCCTGCTGAATCATGACCGAAAAAGATGAGAGGTTACCTTCACTCCTTGGAATCGTGAACAAACAACGCTTGAATGGAGGAGCAATGAATCACTGACACCGGACAAAGGAAACTAAGGAAAGTTCCTCCTTTCTGCTGCGATGGGCCTCCAGATTTTCGATTTCCCCTCTTCTTGTTACGTTGATGGTTTCTTCCCAGCTCTCCCTGACGCTTGCTCAACCTTCCCGCACTCTCTCAAACCTCCCTCGTCAGTTTCTTTCTTCCTTTCCCGTCGGCTTACTCTCCAAAAGCTCTCTATCTTCTCCTCAGTTTTTACCCTTTCTTTGGTCCCTCTCTCTTTGGCCCAGATTTTTCTTTCCGCCGTCACTCTGTCCCCTCGGTAGGTTTCTTTTTTTTTGCTTGTGTTTCTCTCTTCCCCTTTGCTGGTTTTCTCCCTTAGCTTTTTTTTTTGCTGTTTTCTATCTTTCCCCTGATAAGGATCCCTTTGCGGCTGATGTTTTTTTCTTTTTGTACCATCTCCCAATCCCCTAAAACCCTTCTTTGAATGGCGAGGATGAAGGCTAGCCTCTGCCTTCATCCTGCCCCTTCATGGCACGCATGAAAATGCCCTTGGCAAGCTGCAAAAAGAATGCAGCCTGCCTGCCGCGAACCCTCTTTTTTTTTTTTTTTTTTTTTTTTTTTAACTTAACAACTAACCGATTTAATCAAATAATAATAATAACAAAAGTAACTTAATTAACATTGGATTGAATAAACAAAAATAAAACTAGAAATAACAAAATGACACTTTCAATCTTCCATTTTTCATTTTTTTCCTTTTTTTCCTTTTTTTCAAAATAACTTAACAAAAATAAGTAAAGTGCCCAAAGATTGAATTTAAAGAAATAAATATATTTTTGTGAACAAATTTCCCTTTTTCCTTTTTTTATGATTTTTCCAAGAAAACTAAAAACCTATTTTTTGAATGCTTTTTATTTCTTTTTCTTTTTTAACAAATTCTATGATAAAACTTAAAAATAAAAATAAAACTGGAAACTAAAAACTAAAAATGAACACGACAAATAAAAAACTAAAAATGAAATTACACCAAAAATTTGGTGTCTACAGCAATTATCTTCAAGAAATGAATATGTTATGTAATACTAGCACATAAATGAAGTAAACAATTTTTGGATTACCGTTTCATATACAAGGAGGTCTACATTTATGATACATATAAAAGATTTCAAATATGAATACAGATAATGTGGTGTAAATTTAAGTTAGATCATATAAAAATATATGTACATTAAACGTTAATCTAAAACTTTACAAGGGGTGATGGGAGGAGATGGAGAATCCGCATTGGACTATACTACTTACATACAAGCATAGTAAGCTTCTAATGCAGATTGTCAATGACCATTAGGTTAGCCTCAAGGGTCAAACTCATATCCAAATGGGTAAAAACCAGGCCCAAATACTCGGCCCAGTTCATTAATTAACACGGGTAACAAAGGTTAACTTTTATATGCCCACGAGGCTATCACAATTTTAATTAGCCCATCGTCATGGATGAAAAACCAAAAATTTCTCCAATATCAAATTCATTTGACTCATTTTGTATCACTCAAATGTTGTACAGGAATGCTACAACCTACACTTGATTAATAGAAATAAGATGCTAGATTCAGTAGTATTAGTTGATGTAATCACTTGATCATGCAAAATTTCACCAAAATCAAGAGAGTTGGTTTACAATACGGTCTATCAATTAGATGTGGAGAGAGGAAAACTTATGAATTGGAGTTCAACGTGTTAAGTATCACAAGCACAATAATTTGCACGTGCTTAATAAATTATTACAGTGAAATAGCACGCTGTTTTTAGAAATTAGCAAACTTCTAGGGGTCAAAAAGAAATAGCCTTCGTACCATTATTT